GAGGGAGGGAGGGAGGGACCCAGGCCTATCGTGAAGAGCAAGGATTATCTTGAACCAACATTCTCCATCACTATAAGCTTTATGACCTTAACAAATCACTCAGCCTCTCTGAGTCTTTCACCTGAAAAGAAAGATAAACATGATCCACCCTGCAGTGCCTGACATATCATTAGCCCTCAATAATCTTTAAAATTGAGTGGATGGCTCTAGCCAGTTTGGCTCAGTGGATAGAGCATCGGCCTGTGGACCAAAAGGTCCCGGGTTTGTTTCTGGTCAAGGGCACGTACCTTGGTTGCAGGTTCCTCCCTGGTCGGGGTATGTGCAGGATGCAACCAATTGATGTTTCTCTCTGTCTTTCCCTCTCTCTTCCACGCTCCCTAAAAATCAAAGGAAAAATGTCCTCAGGTGAGGATTAACAACAACAACAAACTGAATGGATGGATGGACAGATGGATGGATGAAAGAACTAGTGTAATTGAATGAAGTAAAGGATTCACAACACTATAAGCCCCGACAATTTAAGTCTTAAATGAGTCTCTGAGGTTCTTTTGGGGACAAGCTATAAAACTGAAGCTATCTAATGAAGGGGGAGGGGGCTTGGCTTCGGAGGACGCTGAGGGCAGATGCTAGGGATACAGGGTCCCTGGACGGCAGAAAGGGTTAGACAGCCAACCCCCTGGGAAGGTAGAAGCCAAAGAGCTCAGTGAGACTATCCCTGAACCTTTCCTCCAGGGGGTCCAGGTGAGCTGACCAGCAACCCCCAGTCACTAGCCACTATTTCAGCTTTCCTGACTCCCTGCAAAGAGGGAACCCAATTGCCCAGCTTGCTTCCTGTACTGAGGACACACTGGGCCCCTGAGGTCACCCATGCTGGCCCTCACAATGGGAAGCCAGGCTGGCACCCTGAAGAATGCTGCAGCGACTTCCCAGCACTTCAGATGAGGATGAGATCATGAGCCTTTATTAAGCACCTACCTGTGAGTGTGAAAACAAGAAAAACAGGCCTCCCTTTCTCTTTGCTGTGGCCTTCCACGACTTATGAGAAGCTCCTCTGATTCAAACAGCCCCTCTGTTCAAACTGCAAGACAAGACAAGCTACTCTCAGGGCTACGTTCTTGCATACATACCCCTCCTCGCTGCTGTTTTTTACAAATCAGGGATAATTAGTAGGAAGTTCCCTTCTCCCCTCCTCTTCAAACAAAGCCTCTTTTGAACTCTTCATAACTTTTACCTTTTTTTCTTTATTGATTAAGGTATTACATATGTGTCCTTATCCCCCATTGTTCCCCCCATCCCCCCACTCATGCCCTCCCCCCCTGGTGTCTGTGTCCATTGGTTATGCTTATATGCATGCAGACAAGTCCTTTGGTTGATCTCTCCCATAACTTTTACTCTTTGCATGTTTTACATACAGGTTTGGGTGAAGATGCTGATAAAGACACCTCCCTAGGACATCTGCCCAGACTAAAAAACAAACAGACTTTTCAAAGACAACCCCCCATGTATGCTCAACTCCAGCCCCCAAGCCCTCCTCCCTTCCTCGTCACCTAGCAACAGCAGCCAAGGCTTTAAAGGGGAGCAGCCTTTTGTTCTTGGCCCTTGTATTGGTTAGCGTGCACCAGGCCCTTTCCCTTTGGGGAGAGTAAAAATAATAAAACTTTCTCTCTGCATCTATCTCTTCCTTAAGTTGTGAATGCTTTCACAGCCCGAGTCACAGCCAAAAACCCTAACACCACTATATACTGGATACCATGCTAATGCTTTCTGAAGCCAGCCAATGAGTCTGCTTAGGTGAACATGTTCTGCAGAAACTTATACAAAGCTGGCATAGTAAAGCCGTATTACAAGACTTAAAGACATTGAAGTCAACAAGATCCCTGAGAATGACTTATAAGAAAAAATTTTTAAACATATTTTTATTGATTTCAGATAGGAAGGGAGAGGGAGAGAGAGATAGGAACATCAATGATGAGATAGAATCATTGATCAGCTGCCTCCTGAACACCCCACACTGGGGGTCGAGCCTGCAAGCAGGCATGTGCCCTGACCTGGAATAGAACCATGACCTCCTGGTTCATAGGTCGATCCTCAACCACTGAGCCACGCCAGCTGGGCCCATATGACCTTTTTCTAGGACTATGGCAAAGAGTCTCAGGCATACGATGTCATCGAGGAGTACTTCCAAATGAGAAATGACCAAATGAAGTTGGCTTTTGTTTCTAAAAAAAAAAAAAAAAAATGCTTTCTGTGTATTAATTCACTTAATCTTCACAACAACACTGGTGACACCAAAAACAAAGAAAAGAGCCCGGCCGGCATGGCTCAGTGGTTCAGTGTCGACCTATGAACCAGGAGGTCACGGTTTGATTCTCAGTCAGGGCACGTGCCTGGGCTGTGGGCTCAATCCTCTATCCCCAGTAAGGGACATGCAGGAGGCAGCCGATCAATGAGTCTCTCTTATCATTGATGTTTCTATCTCTCTTTCCCTCTCCTTTCTTCTCTGAAATCAATAAAAATGTTGGTGTTTGTGTGTGTTTTTTTAAAGAAAAAAATATCTGGGAATCTTAAATAATTTGTTCATTCAGGATAAGTAAATTGGTTTATATTCACACAATAGACTATTATTATACAACAATAGGAATGAACAAACTATAATTACATGCAACAACATGGGTGAAATTCATTAATATGTTGAGCAGAAAAAGACAGACACAAAGAGCCCTCACTGGTCCTGGCCAATGTTCTCAGTGGTTAGAGCGTCGCTGGCACACTGAAGGGTCTCACGTTCAATTCCCCATCAAGGGCATGTATCTGGGTTAAAAGTTTGATCCTGGCCCTGGTCGGGGCGTGTGCGGGAGGCCACCAATCAATGTGTCATTCTCACATTGATGTTTCTCTCTCCCTCTCCTTCCCTTCCACTCTCTCTAAAAATCAATGGAAAAAATAATCCTCCAGTGAAGATTAACAACAAAAACAGCCCTTACTGTACAATTCCATTTTTATAGAGAACAAAAACAGGTAAAACTAATATATGTTGTTAGAAGTCAGGATAGTAGTTAGACTTAGGGAAGGCTCAGAAGAGACCGACTGGGCAGAGGGGAAAGGAGCAAAAGGGCCCAAGGGGAGCCATGCCTGTGTAAGCGAAGAGAGTAATAAAAATCAGCCCTGGCCGGTTTGGCTCAGTGGATAGAGTGACGGCCTGTGGACTGAAGGGTCCCGGGTTTGATTCGGTCAAGGGCACATGCCTAGGTTGTGGGCTTGATCCCCAGTAGGGGGCGTGCAGGAAGCAGCCAATCAATGATTCTCATCATTGATATTTTTCTCTCTCCCGCTCCCTTCCTCTCTGAAATCAATAAAAATATATTTTTTTTAAAAAGAGAGAGTAATAAAATCAGAGACATAAAAGAGGCCAACTCATCTAGGGTCTCATAACTCACTGTAAAAACTTTAGCCCTTATTCTGAGAAAAACAGAGACAGCTTTGAGCAAAGGAGTCCTTTGAGGCCTCCTTTGAAAAAAGGCTGCAGTGTAGAAAATACAATAACTGTAGGAGCAGGTGTAGACTCAGACCAGTTAGGAGGCTGTTGCTGTAACGCAGGTGAGAGATGAGGATGGTTCAGATCAAAGTAAAAGAAGTGGAGCCCTGACCAGTTTGGCTCAGTGGATAGAGCGTCTGCCTGTGGACTGAAGAGTCCCAGGTTTGATTCCGGTCAAGGGCATGTACCTTGGTTGTGGGCACATCCCCAGTAGGGGGTGTGCAGGAGGCAGCTGATGGATGTTTCTCTCTCATGGATGTTTCTAACTCTCTATCCCTCTCCCTTCCTCTCTGTAAAAAATCAATAAAAATATTTAAAAAAAAAAGAAGAAGTGGAAGTGAAGAGGTTGGATTCTAGATATTTTCTCAGGATAAGATTTCCTGTCTGATTGAAAGTGGGCAGTGAGATAAACAGAATTGATGAGGAGTCCAAGGTTTTTTATTTTATCGGAGTTTTAAAATTGCCATCAGTTGAGATGGTGAAGGCTGTGCATAGAGCAGGTTTTGAGGGGCTAAAGATCAAATGTTCAGTTTTGAACACACTGAATTTGAAATGAACTATTAGATACCCAAGAGAGGAGATGTCAAGTACATAGTTGTGTATACAAGTCGGTGAAGATATACATTTGGGAGTCATCAGCACATAAATGCTATTTCAAACCATGAGACTGTTGTCTTTGACACCCAGTTTGGGTAAAGGTTAGGAGTGAATACTTGACTGGAGTGGGTTTAAGAAAGAATGAGAGGAGCCAGCTGGCATGGCTCAGTGGCCAGGAGGTCAGGGCATGTGCCTCAGTTGCAGGCTCCACCCCCAGTGTAGGGCTGTGCAGGAGGCAGCCAATCAATGATTCTCTCTCATCATTGATGTTTCTATCTCTCTCTCTCCCTCTCACTTCCTCTCTGGGGGAAAAAAAAAAAAGAAGAATGAGAGGAGAGAAATTGGAGAGTGAGTATGAATGGCTCTTCCAAGAAATTTTACTGTTGTAGCTGAAAAGGGAGAGGGCACAGGAGAATCACTAAGAAAGTTTGAGGACTTAAGTCATCTCAGCTATCTTAATGAGCCTCAAGATAGTATTTTTATCTGATTCTTGCTAATTTTTCTGCTCTCATTTTCCATAATGGTAGTCCCTTAATTTAGCCACACCAGCTTAGGCACAGGTCCCCAAACCATGTCTCCACTCATCAGTTCACTGGGCCTGAGATGTGCACCCTGGCCAGTCTTATTTCTCAAACCTGGCTAAATCTTATTTCTTCGTATCTCTTAGTAAGAGTCACGTTTTTCTAGAAGCATTTCAGAACCCCTCCCCCCCGCCCCAGGCAAGGTCTGATTTTATTCCCCTGCTTCTAAAATATTCTGTACATATCTCTGGCGCCTTCAAAACATAGTTTTAGAATGATTTGGTGAAGGGGTAGTAGGTCTGATTGGTACACAGTAATAAATAGGACAGTAAAAGGATACAAAGGAGGGAAAAGCATTGCATTTTGTAGAATGAAACCCATTGTGAAAAGAAAGCAAATTACCAACAATATCAGATATACAAACATCTTGAAAATTAAAGGTTATAAAACTAAATGTCCGTCTTGTCACTGATTGCCAATATTTTGATGAATAGGTCATTCCTAGCCTATCTTTGTTCAAATGATTTGCATATAATATGCAAATAAACAGAACTACCTAAAGATTGCCCGTGAGGCGCCAGGCAGCTGATACACTCCCCAGGACTCTTCGATTGGCCTGTCTACCCATCTCATTTGCATTACATGATTTAATAAATGAAAGGCCCCGCCCCTCTGACTCTTTCACGTCTCGCGAAAGAATGCGTGAGTTGAAACTCTTCCCCGGTTACGTATGCTCCGCCCTCAGCAGCTGATCCCTTCCGCCCGTCCTCCCGCTCCTCTCCTCTGCTGGAAGCACGAGGGGCTTGCATCTTTTCCTTCCACGGTTGGCGTCCCTACGTCTCTCCGCTCCCATCTTCCCACGAACACACGACGCACGCACCGCCTCTTCCTCCCCCCGTGCAAATTCTGAGCCCCAACCGCCGGGGCCACATCCCCGCCCCACCTCTCAACTGCCGACGCAGGTCCGCCTCTTCAGCCAATCGGTGTCCAAGCGCCTGTAAGTCCCTCCTTTTTATGCAAATAACTACGCCTGCTCCTCACGCCCCGCCTTTTTTTTTTTTTTTAATTAGAGCAGCCCTGGAAGTAATGAGGGATAGAGTAGAACGCGCTCCGCCCCTTATGCAAATTAAGAGGCGTGTCTAGGCGCGGAAGGAGGCGGGAGTGGGGGGGCGCTCCCGGGGGCGGCGGTTGCCCGGATGGGCCGTTAGTCGGAGCCCTGCCGCGGAG